ATGGATCAGATGCAGACTTATCTCTATTTAGGGATTGAGATAAAGTCCCCTAGGATAAATTCTGGTGTCTTTTCCACACGGCGAAAGACTAAACTGGCAATGCGTGTTAGGCGCTGACTTATCCCTACTTAGGATTCGAGATAAAATTCCATGTGTGTGTAAAGCACGGATTTTGGGGTTATGAATAACAACCTGGCATAATGTTAAATATGTAGGTTTTTATTTTTTTACGGTCAAGAACTAACCGACAACGTGTGTTAAGCACTAATTTATTCCTATTTAGGCTTCGGGATAAAATTCCCTAGACTTGGATTCTGGTGCCTTTTTCACTCAGCGAAAGACTAAATCGACAACGCGTGTTAGACATTAACTTATCCCTACTTAGGCTTCGGGATAAAATTTCTCGTGCGTATAAAACACAGATTTTAGCGTTATGAATAACAACCTACCATAATGTCGAATATGTAGGCTTTTATTTTTTTTACGGTCAAGAACTAACCGGCAACACATGTTAAGCACTAACTTATCCCTACTTAGGCTTCGAGATAAAATTTCCCAGACTTGGATTCTGGTGTCTTTTTTACTTGGCGAAAGACTAAATCGGTAATGCATGTTAGACATTAACTTATCCCTACTTAGGCTTCGGGATAAAATTCCTCGTACGTATGAAGCACGGATTTTGGCGTTATGAATAACAACCTGCCATAATGTTGAAAATGTGAGCTTTTATTTTTTTACGATCAAGAACTAACCGGCAACGCTTGTTAAGCGCTGACTTATCCCTACTTAGGCTTTAGGATAAAATTCCTAGACTTGGATTCTGATGTCTTTTTTACTCGGCGAAAGACTAAACCGATAATACGTGTTAGGTGTTGACTTACCCCTAATTAGGCTTCGGGATAAAATTCCCCGTGCGTATGAAGCATGGATTTTAGGAGTTGAAAAAAACGGTGTCTTCTCTTAGGGCAAAGACGAACCCGATACTGGAAAGGAAGAATTTTATATTCTATTTCAAGTCACAAAAGAAACTCAAAGTGGGATCTCCACTTCGAGAATCAAAAATGATTCGGATAAGCCTAACTGTCAGAATGTTTGATCACCCAATATGAAGATGGATTTCTCATTTATTGGGAGGGAACCCCAGTTTTGACCCTAACTGTAGGAAAGTTTGACCAAGTGGGAGGTTTGAGATGACCCTAATTGTTGGAAGGTTTGATCACTCGATTTTAAAGTGGACCTCTCGTTCATGAAAGGAACCGAGAGGAGACTTTGGTTATGGTCCTAACTGTTTAAAGGTTTGACCAAGTAGAAGTCAGAGTACAAATCACAGTGGGAGTGTTGACTTATACAAATCACTCGGTGGGGTTTTTTCAGTGTCAAGTAATCAGCACTTAACATGAAAAGGGTTTGAAAATCGTCAAGGATCAGCAAATTAAAATTCCAAGTACTATGTTCGGACTCTAACAATGGATATGTTAAGTGCACAGACACAGTGGGAGTTTGAGTGGATTAAACCAGGAAGAATTTTAGTAGACCCACCGTCAATTAATTTGATCAATGAGGGATTTTGTGGTGGAAGATTGTTAGTTCTAACTTCTAACTAGTGTTATTTCTAATATAAGCGTTAGTTCTAGTGGAATGTTAGTTCTAGTTGAGCTCCATGTTAGTTCTAGTGGCTCTCATGTTAGTTCTAGCTGATGTCATGTTAGTTCTAACTTCCAGCTAGTGTTATTTCTAATATAAGCGTTAGTTCTAATGATATATTAGTTCTAGTTGAGCCCCTGTTAGTTCTTGTGGCTCTCGTGTTAGTTCTAGCTGATGTCATGTTAGTTCTAACTTTCAGCTAGTGTTATTTCTAATATAAGCGTTAGTTCTAGTGATATGTTAGTTCTAGTTGAGCCCCTGTTAGTTCTAGTGGCTCTCATGTTAGTTCTAGCTGATGTCATGTTAGTTCTAACTTGAAGCTAGTGTTATTTCTAAAATAAGCGTTAGTTCTAGTGGTATGTTAATTCTAGTTGAGCTCATGTGGCTGTTAATTCTAGACTTCTAGTGGCTCTCGTGTTAGTTCTAACTTCTAGTTTTTTTATATATCGCAGGACGATGATGAGGATGACGACTAAAGCTGGAAAAACAGTAAAAAGGATTTACAGGAATTTTTGACATACTCCCTTCTTTGGCCTTCTCTGATTATCGTAGGAAATAGGGGAGTGGGCTCATAGGAATGAAACTTTTGAAAACATTATCAATGTTTAATGCTTCATGATCTCCTACTTTGTTGATATCTTTTTTTTCTTTAACACATTATGTTGTTTGATAACAAGTTTGATGAAGTTAGAACCAAACAAGCCGAACCGAACCACACCGAACCGACTTGCAACGGTTCGGTTCGGTTTTGAATTATAGGCGGACGGGTTCGGTTGTCCAAAATTTGGTAAAAACCGAGCCGACCGACCGTTTGCACACCCCTAGTGGAGAGAGAGAGGTTATCCCTAAAAATGGAGGCAGCTGCCATGTCATCTTCTCTTCCTAGTCATTTCCCTCCACTTCCTCTCTCCTGGTGCCCAATAGCAGAAGCAACCGAAGGGGCAAAGAAAATGAGTTCCCTCTCTTGTCCTCCCATTTACAGGAAAATTTCTTATCTTTAACTTACCCAAAATTCCATGGAAAAAATCACTTTTAAGTAACAACTAAAAGTTGGGTCTTTAAGAGTTTGCTTCAAGTAACTGTGTTCAATGTTAAATTCATTGGTTGAAGATTAATTGGTTTGATGTTGACAAATTGAGATTTTTCATGTATATCTCTAGATACTAGATATCTTAGGGTTATTGACTTGTGCAATCCATTATGCGTTGGAAAATTGAGTTATCTCTGCTTCGTAGAATTTATAAATATTTGTGGTCATTATGTACAACTGTAACTTTTGTTTGGTTTATTTTTTGGTCTTTGATGAATAAGCTTTGCATATTTTATTGTATTAAATATCATAAATACCCAATATTACTTATCAAAAGAAGAAATTGAGGGTTTCTATGTGTAAGTTGCTGGATCGTGTTGTATTAAATATCATAAATACCCAAAATTACTTTCTAAGAAAAGAATTTGAAGGTTTCTGTGTAAGTTGGTGGATCATGCTGTGCTAAATATGCATAAATACCCTAAATTGTCTACGCCTCCTCGTGTGCACTCGCTCGCAGGATTTGAAATATTGGAGGAGACTAAAATAACAAATTGTCTAGAGGAACAATGAAAATATCAATCATAGGAGGTGAAAATAGAATGTTTTCTAGAGAAGAATAATGAAAGCTTAATAAAAAAAAAGAGGATTTTTGGAGAACAAGTTGTAAACCTAGAGGGCTTCTCATATATAGGATATTACTTGCATATGCGCAGTGTTCTTTTTAATGAGAAGATGATTGTCATAGTCTATTATTCCTATAAGTTGAACTTTGTTTTCTTTCTTACGTTTGTTATATTGATTCTATTGGTTAATAGCCTATTAAGTACAATAGCATCGTATTAAGATTCTCCCAAGCTTATGCTAGAAACAATATGTTCTAGATGTTTCTTCTAGATTTTGTTACACCAAATCGATGTCACATTTGATGGGTCCCTCACGTAATTGGAAACAGAAAATAATACTTTATTTTTTTAATTAATAACTAGTATTATTGCATGCGCAAATGCATGTGCAACGATTGTGGAAACTTAACCATCCCAAATTTTTATATAAAAGTGACACTTATAGTAAAATTTTATAGAATTTTATAAATATCTTTATGATATTTTTCATTTGAGATAAGTTATTTACATTATCTTATTTGAAATTAGATATGACATATATTTCAATTTCGACGGGGATGTTGTTTTCCATAAAAGAAAATATGGTGCAATGTAATTTAATAGATTATTTTCAAAACATCATCCTAAAAACATTTTAAATAATGTGGATACGAAGGGTATATTTCATATTTTATCTTCAAATTATTATATGTAATTATTTTTGACCCAACTATGTAGATTTATTTTAACTTTTGATAATATTTAGATTAGAACACATTGAAATTCCTATGATTAATGCTAATACCCTTCCTTCAAGAAAAGAATGTGCAAAAAACCAAATTTAAAACATTGGTTAATTTTATGCACTTTAGGGCTGTTGCAGATAACATCCGAACACCTTTTATCTCACAAACCCCCTGAACTTCATCAAGATATATTACATTACTCCCCTGAATTTTGAATATTTCATTAGCGATGCCCCTCCCAAGAATTAGCAAATAACTAAACTATCCGTGAGAGTTAAAACTGGTCAGTTTGGGAGGGTGGATGCATTACCTGTAATGACAAATGACTAAAGTGAGGTTTTCTCTCACTATACTAAGACCATCTCCAACCCATAGCATCAAAATTGTACAAATTTTGCATCAAAATGGTGCAAAAGTCACATCAAACAGTAATACATCTCCAACCTATTGCACCATTTTTTGCACAAAAAAAGAATATTCTCAGTATATTCTCACTTTATTCCCTTTTATCTATTTTTATATTAATTGAGAGGTAAAAACAAATATTTAAAAAAAATTTTTAAAAATTGAACAGTAATGGGGCGGATGAACAGTGCGACGCCATATTTGGTGCAGCACTGTTTATTTGCACCAAAATGGAGTAGAAAATGGGGCTGGATTGGAGAAGAAACAGTGCAACAAAAAGCACTGTTTGCACCAAAATGGGGCTGGGTTGGAGATGCCCTAAGTCGCCAATTACGGACAGGGAACTTCGTTGAGAAAAGTTCAAATGTTAAGGGGTTATATGAGAAACCCCAAAGCACCGGGCGTTTGGTGACCCAAATAAAGTTCAGGGGTTTATGTGAAAACCTCTCAAAGTTCAGGGCTGTTTTGATAAATTAGTAGCCTTCAGCCCGATAAGAGGATAAGAAAGTCAAGTCAGAAGGACTTCTCCCTCCCTCCTCTTCCATCTCAAAAACCCACTGCTCTCGAGCAATGGCAGCCTCCGGGGGCCTGCAAGGTTCCCTAACGATCTCATCCCCAATCTCCAACAGAAACCCTAATATCCTCATGCTCTCCTCCTCCTTCAAATCCCTCTCTCTCAAGAACAAGAAGCGAACCTCTCCGACCACGATGAGCATGGAGGCCGGCGTCGGAGTGATGGGCACGAAGATCGGGCACCTTGAGAAGGCCGGGGCCGTGCCGACGGGGCACCTGCAGGAGTTTAGGCTGGAGAAGGCGGAGGGGTTCGAGCCCGGGCAGAGGCTCGTGGTCGAGGAGGTGTTTAAGGAGGGGGGTCTCGTTGATGTGAGTGGGAATTCGATCGGAAAAGGGTTTCAAGGTTTGTGTTTCTGTTTTCTTGTTTGGTTGGGAATTTTTACAAATACTTGGTGGGCATTCAATGCAGCGCAGGTCATAGGTTGGTATATACACTTGGGCTGTTTGGTTGGTTCAAAAAAAAAAGGAAATCTATTATGGAAACCTATTTTCTATAATAGGCTCTTTTCTTTTGCTTGGTTCACCTCCTAAAAGTAAGAAAAGATGAGTTGCCATCTGACACAATTTGAAGAAAACCCATTTCATAAAATTTTGAGGAAATGGATGTAAGACAAGTTTTAGTGATATCCTTATCATATTTCTTTTTCTTTGATTCTTGGAAATCAACCAAACAGCCTCTTACTTGCATGCTACCCGTGCAATCGTACCGGGATTTCTAAGGGTCCATTTAGTCCCACTTGTGGGTTCCCCTAGGTCCGTTATAAATGGTGTCGGAGCATTGACACTCATTTAAGATTGCAATGTAGTGGTTCAGGCATTGACACTCATATTCTGACACACAAAATTCAAGCTATCCACTCCAGAATAGTACTTGCTATACATTATATCTTTCCAGTGCACAAAATTGTCAGCCGTCCATCTCCAAAGCCGTTTACCAAGGAGAGCTTTGTTCATACTTCTCAAATCAATAATCCCTAGGCCTCCCTGTCATTTAGGTTTATATGTTTCACCTCATCTAACAATATTAGAGGCTCGTTTAAGATCATTAGGCTCTATCCAGAAAAATCTCCTCCTAATCTTATCAATTCTATCAATCACCCACTGAGAAAAATCATATAGAGACATTCAAAACAGAGGCATAGCAGATAGCACAGAGTTAACTAAAGTTAACCTACCCCCTCTAAAAAGATTTCTCACTTTCCAAGTTGTTAATTTTTCTTCAAACTTGTCAATAAGAGGTAACCAATCCTCTTTAAGCAACTTTTCAGGTCTCAAAGCAAGGCCCGGATAAGTGATAGGGAAACTGTCTTCTTTGCAATTCAATTTGCAAGCAATTTGATATTGAAGCTCTTTATTATCTTCTAGAAGAATCATTGAGCTCTTAGAAAAGTTAATCTTGAGGCCAAAAAGTAACTCATACCCATACAATAACCGGAGAACACCTAAGCTTTGCAGGAAATGAGGGTATCATTTGCATATTGCAAATTAAGGACTTTTGTTGTCAAACTTCTAGGGCCTAAACCATGATGTAAATTTGCACTTATTGCTAATCTTATCATTTGACAAAAAGCATCAGCAGCCAGGACAAACAACGAAGGAGATAAGGGGTCACCTTGCCTAATACTCCTGTTAGAAAAAATCAATTTTTCAGGTTGACCATCTAGGATAATGGCAGATTTGCCTCTACACAGAATGTTCTTGAGCCACCCAAGCAATCTAGGAGACTCTGAGAACATCTAAAATAAACTCCGAATCCCACAGATAATAGGCTTTTATAAAATCTAATTTAATAAGAATGCCTTCCTTTTCATTTTCCTGAAAACACTCAGTAATGATTTCTTGAGCAGCCACCACACCTTACATTAGGAATCTCTCCTTAATAAAACCAATTTGGATAAGATCAATCAACAGATTCAGCTTATCATTGAGTCTTCTAGTCAAATCTTTAGTGATAATCTTGTAAACCACATTCAGAAGACTAACCGACCTAAAATCACCTAGACCTAAAATCACCTAGACCAACAGAATCTTTTTTTTTGGGGGAATAAGCACAATGTGAGCATAGTTAAGCCTAACTACATCAAGATTACTCTTATAAAACTCAATAAAAAGACTTTGGATATTAAATTGAATAACCTCCCAAAATTCTTGAAAGAACATGGCAGAAAAGCTATCAAGCCTAGGAGATATGTCCCCAGTCATGGAGAAAATAGCTTCTTTAATCTCTGCTAAAGAAAACAATTCTAGGGAATCTGTATCCCAATCAGGAGGGGGGAAGCCTCTCCCAATCAACCTTAAGTCCATCCACAAAAACATGTACTATTTCATCATTAGAACTAATTTTCACACCTTCCACCACCATACAGCGGATACAATTAGATCTTTTCCTGCCATCTGCTATCATAGGAAAAAAGCCTTGTTTAAGTCCCCTTCTTTTAGCTACTGAGTTCTAGCTCTTTGTTTCCATAACACTTTTCCTTTTTTTTAAATGTTAGTCAAATCTCCGGAAAGTTCCTCTTCTTAATTTTTCAACGTCAGTCAAATTCATATTCTCTTCAAGCACATCAATGGTCAACAGCTCATCTAAAATCCTTTGTTTTGTAGTTTTGATACTATAAAAGTTCTCATGGGCCCATTTTTAATCTCTTTCTTTAAGAACCTTAGCTTACTCACAAAGCTAGTAGCATCATATTTTTTGTTATAAGCTTTTTGCCACCAAATTTTCACACAAACTTTAAAAGAATTGTAAGTTAACCAAACTTTTTTAAATCTAAACATCTTAACAGGAGAAGTAGACATCAAATAGTTTAAAACAATAGGAGCATGATCAGATAAAGGACTAGATAGGTCCCTTTGAAAAGATAAAGAACATTTATTCTCCCATGCATTATTGAATAGGATCTACTTAACCTAGCAAGGGTTACAACCTCTCTCTTGTTGAACCACATAAACTTCCTACCTGAGAAGAGAATGTCAATCAATTCAAGCTCATTCAAAATATCACAAAAAATCTTCCAAATCATGAGCATGGCTAATACAACCCTTTCTATCATCTACACTTCCAATGACATTAAAATCACCAGCCACCATCTGAGGACCAACAAAACAAGATTGAATCAACCTCAATTCATTCCAGAAATTTCTCCTATCATTATAAGAATATAGTCCATAAACAGAGGCTAAAGTCCAAACAAATCTACCACATTTACTAGTAAATTGAACAGATAAGGTATATTGACCAATATATTTAGCAATTTCATCCCATTTATACCCTTGACATCCTATTAACATGCCTTCTGTTGAGCCCCTAGCAGTTAAACATGCCCACTCATTTCAAATACTTACCCCAAGTCAAGGCACATAGAGAGAAGAAGCTAGTTTAGTTTCCTATGACAAACAAAATTAAACTTATTAAGGAAATAAAAAACATCATATTTCTTACTATCATTTCCTAAACCTCTAACAATTCAAGAACAAATCATACTTTCAATCTGAAAAACCACACAATCACACAGAGTCCAAAGAACCAGGCCATGACCCTAAGAAAGAGAACTCTCTCTTTTCATTTGTGTAATCTTATGTAAATGATAACTTTCATTATCCTCAAAGAATACCATATTTCTTATTTAATTGACTATCATTATAGGAATAAAAAAAGGCACAACTATAGATTCAAGTTCAGAGTTTGTGCTTGAAGTAAAAGTATTTCTAGAAGAACTCCCTTGTGCATTAAAAGCTTCCAAACCCTTCCTCACAGCTGCTTTACCAGTGGCTCTTTCCATAGTTGATTGATTGTTAGAGAACTATAGCCTAGACCTTCTTCTCACCTTCCCTAAAGCATTATTCTTGCATTTCCCTCATACTCTTTGTCCATTAGAATTTCAGTTGAAGCAGGAATCATGTTCAAAGGTTCCACTATGGGTACAAATTTCACCAACCTATTTTCAAGCTGTTCTTGCACATTTTGATCTAAACCCATATCCATATCACTCTCTTTATTATATAATCTCTCTTGATCAAGAACCTAAAAAAACTCATCTTTTTCTATCTCCATCTCTGGGCTACCTTTAAAGAACTGACTTCCTAATCATTTATAATATCATTTCCCCTCATAACATTCTCATTATTTTCTTCCAAATGCATGACTTCTGACACTTAAGCATCATCACAAACTAAGAGACCCCAAAAGTCATCATTTAACCCTATTTGATCTATTTGGTTCTCAACAGGAAAATATTTAGAGAAATCAATTAAAGTACACTCCATTCAGAACCATAGGAGTCTTACGAACTTTGTTTTCAATAAGGTCCAAAGCCAACCTTGTGTTTCCCTCTTCATCATGCAATTTACTTTCTGTATTATCTTCAGATTTAGATTTGTAATATTCTCTTACTTGTGACCACAATAAAGATTCAGCAGAATTATCTGGGCATGCTTTATAATCATTAATTCTTCTCGACTGAGTAGAGAAATGTCCAAATGAAGCATTTGGTGATGCTTCCTTAGATTTTGACTGTGTAGTATCACCTATAGAAATCTCCATATCTGCATTGCCCTTGATATTAAGTTGTTCACCTACTTTCTTGTTACTCAAATTCCTACTTTCAAGCACCAAAATGATATTTATTAGAATAAGATATAAGTGAGACTCATAGTAAATCTTAAGCATCTTAGGAATATCCTGAATTAAAGCACATTTAACAAGTAAAATGACATTTATATAATCCATCACCATTCTAATAGAACCATCCAAAGCAACAGTTTTAGCAGAACCATCCAAAGCAACAGTTTTAGCAAAATAACACAGCTTCAGAGAAAATTTCTAGATTCCATAAGAAAAGAGGAAACCCATATAATTGAATCTAAACTTCAGTGCTTCTAATTTCCTTTAAACTTCTATCATCAGCAGAGTATTGCTTAATAGTGACATGAAAAGAAGGCAATGCTATAAACCCCAAGAAGACAAATTCCATTCGCTTCTCTCTAGGAGTAATTTTGACTAAAAAGTTTTTATCGGGCATAGATTTGATCTCCCACTCCTTAACTTCTAGAAATTTAAAGCGCAGATCCTGTTCTAAATTTCTAGCATAAATATCAGAACCAGAAACTATTGACATGATTACATAGTCATTCAATTTCTAAATTTCTTCATTAACGTATGCAGAAAAATTAAAAACTACAGCAAATAAAGAAACTCTATCCCCTGAACTATGAGATTTTGACTCCAATATCGGAGCATCATCATCATCATCATCATCAATTGGTCATTTCTCTTTGTTAATACTTGATCTATCAAACCTTGAAGGAGGAAAATCTCGATCTTTTCATCTCCCAAAATTAGGGTTTGTACCTTGGGATTTTGATTATTCCTACCATTCTGTCATCATGAGCATCAAAATGCCATTTCAATCCACCTCTTATGTCGTCTTGCTCGCTTGTCCTCCATCATCGCCTGCGGGTCATGAATTATTTAGAGGTTCGCGCTTCATGTCCTATCCTTTTACATTTGTAGTAAATTCTTGGAAGATGATAAAATCAAGCCATATGAACTTTAGATCCACACAAAAAATAATACTTTTATTGTTTCACGATATCGATCGTCAGTGATATAGGGCTTTTGAGATAAGAAGACAGGAAAGATTTCCTAGATCTAGGGTTTCTTCTCTTAACAACCTCAACCCATGATAGATTTGAGATCTCTACCATTAACTCCTCAGTTGGGCTACGTGTGGGATCCGATCCAGCCACGCCCTTGGATTATGCTTGAGAATTGGCCGTTTAGAACATTCTCCCACTTCAAAATTAGAGATGGGCTGAGAGAATTGCACAAAAGCCATAGGATCTTCTAGATTCAACAAAAAATTAGGGGTTGATCCATCAAAAATTTTATCTTTCCCTTTAGTTTGATTCTTAGACTTTGAAACCCTAGCCTCAAATGATTCAGAGATAAATGGTTAGGTGGAATCTTCTGTAGCTAAAAAATCACAATTTTGATTAGACTTTGAAAACAAAATTAATCACAAAAATTTTAAGGAGGAACAATAGATCATTCAAAAAAATCTCTAATTTTTTCATTACTCCATCAATTCTTTTTCTTGGAAGAGATTGCCACTTTTTACCAAATTAATTAAAGCACTTTTTTGCACAATTTTCTTTTCAACCAAATACTAAATTTGCATTAAAAATATATTTCCTATAATATAATAGCAAATATGCAAACAACAAATTCAAAGTTGATTTTCTACACTAAATATTACACACAATATTTAATGCTAGCTACAACTATTGCAGCAATATATATTTTCAGCGAACCAAACAAAAGTGAGAAATTGTAAATTATAAAATTGCAATTCGTTTTTTTCCTTTTAACTTAATAAATTATGATTTTTAAATCTATACTCCATAGTTTTCAAAGGGGTGCCTCATTGCGCCTTATGTGCCGTGCGATGCGCAATAGCGTAGCGCCCCACATTTAATGTAACAACACCTTTGGCGCCACGCAAGTGACATGTGCTTCACGTAGGGCGCACACTAGGCATAGCTTCACATAGTTTTATTCTATGTAGCACGGACACGGATCCGACACGGCCATCTGACACGCCGACACGAGGCAAATCCTAAAAAATACATAGGATACGTGTGTTCGACACGTGTGTCCGACACGGGCACGACACGAGACGGCTTCATGTTATGCGTGTCCGTACTTCATAGGTTTTATTCATTAACATTTTAACTGGGTTTTTATACCCGATAACCCATAACCCATAACCCATATCCCAAAAGGTAAAATAAAATTGTTAGGCCTATATAATAGCCCGATTGAGGACCATAAATTTTGCTTCAATATTAGTGTTGACTTTTTGATTTGAAAACTTTTGAACTTCGCTCTTTGTTGAATTTGTTATCATTAAAAATTAAAACATTGTTTTGTGATTTCATTGTAGATCTTATTTATCTTGACATATTTTTATGTGAAAATTAATATCATGCTTGATTACCCATCTTGAAAAATTAAGTGGGGGTGTGCGCCTCACTTCACTCAGGGGCGTGCATTGCATTGCCCCTTGCGCGTTTACGCATAAAGAGACTTTGCGCCCCGTATTGCGCCTTGCGCATTGATAACACTGCTATACTCTATGTTTATGTGGCAGTTTATGATTGGTTCCCGTTTGTGATAGATTCACCGTAGATGTCATCTTAAAAGCTTTCTTTGGCCACTCCTCTTCCTCTTCTTGCAGAGAGAGGGAGAGAGGTTATCCCTAAAAATGACAGGTAGTTGTCACATCATCCTCTATTCCCAGTCATTTCCCGCCGCTTCCTCTTTTTTGGCGCCCAATAGTGGAAGCAACTGAAGGGGTAAAGGATGTGAGTTTTCTCTCTTGTCCTCCCATTTACAGAAAAATTTCTTATCTTTAACTTACCCAAAAATGTTGCGGTAATAATCACTTTCATGTAACAACTAAAAATTGGGTCTTTAAGGGTTTACTCCAAGTAACTATGTTCAATGTTAAATTCATTGGTTGAAGATAAATTGGTTTGATATTGACAAATTGAGATTTTTTTCATGTATATCTCTAGATACTGAATATCTTAGGGTTACTGACTTGTGCAATCCCTCATGCACTGGAAAATTGAGTTATCTCTGCTTTGTAGAATTTATAAATATGTGGTCATTATGTACAGCTATGACTTTTATTGGATTTATTTTTTGGTCTTGGATGAATAAGCTCTGCAGATTATATTGCACTAAATATCATGAATACCCAAAATTACTTACTAAGAGAAGAAATTGAAGGTTTCTATGTGTAAGTTGCTTCATTGTGTTGTATTAAATATCATAAATACCCAACATTACTTCCTAAGGAAAGAAATTGAAGGTTTCTATATGTAAGTTGGTGGATCATGTTGTACTAAATATGCATAAATACCCTAAACTATCTAGACCTCCATATGTGCAATTACAGGACTTGAAATACTAGAGGAGGCTAAAATAACAAATTGTCTAGAGAAGAACAATGAAAATAGCAATCATAGGAGGTGAAAATAGTAGGTTTTCTAGAGAAGAGCAATGAAAGTTTCATCGAAAAATGGAGGATTTTGGAAAACAAGTTGTAAACCTAGAGGGCTTCTCATATATAGGATATTACCTACATATGTGCACTGTTCTTTTTAATGAGAAGATGATTGTCATGGTCTATTGTTCCTATCAGTTGAAATTCGTTTTCTTTCTTATGTTTGTTATATGGATTCTACTAGTTAATAGCGTATTAAGTACAATAGCACCATATCAAGATTTTCCTAAGCTTATGCTAGAAACAATATGTTCTGGATGTTTCTTCTAGCTTTTGTTACACGAAATCGATGTCACAATTGATGGGTTCCTCACATAATTGGAACAGAAAATTATACTTTATTTTTATTTTTAAATAACTAGCATTATTGCATGCGCAAATGCATGTGCAATGGTTGTCAAAACTTAACCATCCCAAATTTTTATATAAAGGGGACACTTACAGTAAAATTTTATAGAATTTTATAGATATTTTTATGATATTTTTTATTTGAGATAAGTTATTTTATATTATCTTATTTGAAATTAGATATGGCATATATTTCAGTTTCAGTGGTGATGTTGTTTCCATAAAAGAAAACTATGGTGCATTGTAATTTAGTAGATTACTTTCAAAACATCATCCTAAAAACACTTTAAATAATGTTGATAAGAAGGGTATATTTCATATTTTATCTTCAAATTATTATATTTAATTATTTTTGACCCAAGTATATAGATTTATTTTGACTTTTGATAATATTTAGATTAGAACACATTGAAATTCCAATGGTTGTATTTATATGCATTTTATATTGAATAATTCATTTTAGAAAAGAACTTTATCATTTTATATCCATATCTCTCACAACACAAATTGTCATAGATATTTAATTCGTGAGTTCTAATTATATACTCATGTCATAGTTTAGAATGATCTACAAAAAGAAAAGAGAGGAAAAAATCTCCTATAGCAAAATTACCTATATACCCCTCACATATATATTGATATGTAAAGTGTCCTTCAAACTTTTTGGTACCCCACTAAGTTTTTAATATAATAGCATATATAGTTTTTTCTCTGGCCATTAAGAGTTAGGGTTGTGCTACAATATGACGCTGATTTTTTTTCCTGTTTCAGTATTAGCCAAATTAAAGCCCTTGGGAAATCGGTGCAGCTTAAATATTGAAGATGACACCAGTAAGGAGTTTGACACTCAATCATCATCAACTTCTTCGAAAGTGAAGGTCTCTCATGGTGCCACTTAGATTTAAAATCCTTTAAACTGGGTGGTCACTAGCGTATTGCATTTCTGTCTCACTGAACTTGTTTATTAGCTAATGTATATTTGGATTGTTTCTTTTTGGGTAAATTACAGAAAATTTCCCTAAAGTTTGCATGATTGACAGGACAACCCGCTAGGGATTTAAAAGTGATAAAAATTCCCCTTAATTTCAAATTTTAGTCAAATTATGTTCATTTTTGTCATGCTGTGATCATCAATTTTGATTATGATACTCATATATATATGTTTATGTGGGAGTGCATATAATTGTTATAAATCCTATGATATTAGCTTTTGTATCCAACTTTTTGGGGGGGGTTGGGGTGGGGGTGAGGTGCAGAGTAAACTGACTTTTTTTAGAATCTTAGGGGGATCTCTATCAATCGTGTAAATCTTCGGGATATTTTTTTTGTAATGACCTATTCTTTTTGGTGCACCAATAAACATAAGAAGTCAACATATAGAAAACAGCAGATATTGAATATGATTTTATGGCTATGGGAAAACTACCTCAAGCTACCACGATCCATAAACTTTTCCAACTTGATTTGTCACATGAATTTCCTGAAATTTACCGGTAATTTCTGAACTAATCACCTTCGATTCTGATAAATTCTGTAACGAAAGCAGCCTCAAGTAGTGATTATTAAGTAATCAAACTGCAATACTGCATGCATGGCATGGTTGCATCTCACATCTAATAGTTGAACAATATCATTTATCAGCCTGTGTCTGAATGCTGATTTCTGGACTTGCTGGATGGAAGTGAGCTTCTTTCACCTACTGAGAGTGTATAAGTTACTAATATTACTGGTTGAGCTTTCACCTTGCATTTTGATGGATAAGATTGAAGCGCTATCAGAATTTTTTTGGGGTTAAGCCAAATTGCATATTGGTTTGAGAGACATATACTTGCTCAAGTATGAAGAGGTTCTTGCATCCAATTCCAACTTGTTGGAAAGTAAATTATTTGTTTTTAAAATTTTGCTTGAGGCACAGTAGATTATTTTGAGCATAACAAGTTTCCGATTCCATGCCAATGGTATTATAATTTTTTTGATAATTTGTATTTTATAAAATATTGTATTTTGTGATCATTAAAATACAACATAAAGTTGGAATTTGTCTACATGTAGGTAACAGATTTTAAGACATTAATACAAATCTCTTGAAAGGGGAAGAAACTAAATGGTGATAGTTGCAAGGTTTGGCATCATAAAGTCTCATACCTTCTCTGAAAACTGGGCACTTGATGCTCTCCCAATAGTTCTCAGTTCAATAGGAGGTTCAAGTCTACATCCATTTGTATTTGAGTGACCAAGTGCATCGGGACATCAGTAGGAAGTCATGCTTTTGGAGCCACCATTTCATATTATAAGTTCACCCAGATGACTCCTCGCACATTAGTTCGAGTATTATTCTCTAAAAGCTCTTCTAAGTTCTTGACCATTTAAATAGTACACACACATGCACCAACCCAAGATTGCTCCACACTGTACATATGCATACATGTATATGTGTATATATATGTATGAATGTGCTAAAAAACTTTAAAATAAGTTGTTCTTTATAAAAAAAAAATTATATTGTTGTTTATGCACAACTCTGGGACTGATTACTGTTTCAGACTCTTTTATAAGAGCACCAAGGGGATTGGCCTTGGACATGATGGATGATTCCTCTGGAAAAGAGAAACCAGTGTGTAAAAACTGTGGCGGCAGTGGTGCTATTATATGTAAGAAATTTTCTTTTTTTTAATCGTTGTTTTTCAAAATTCTTCATGATCTAACAGGCAAACTCGCTATTCCTTGAGTCTTTGATCGAGAATAAGCTATTCCACATTTGGAAGTCCAATGCTGCGTAAATTATTTTGAATTTAAACTTCTAAAACTTTAAAAGCAATTTATTAAAGTGATTTTTTTGAAGTTTCTTTTTTTAGGAAAACATTCAACTCGGAGGACTTATCATGAAATTGAATTTGTTTATGATATTGCATATTGTTGCAAAGAACTTGTAGTTCATATGACCACATAATGTGAACAACGTATACTAGATTAAAAGTGTCAGCACAAAAGCAAGAATCTATTTTTCCGAACTTATAAATTCAATTGAGACAAGAAATATTAACGGTAAGATAATCTATAATATGTTTAAATCAGTTTATAGCAAGAGCAAGTGTGCATATCTTACGTTCTTATGATGCAAAATTGTATTTTTCTTTCCTTTGTTAAAATCAGGTGATATGTGCGGAGGTACTGGAAAATGGAAAGCACTTAACAGAAAGCGAGCAAAAGATGTTTATGAGTTTACTGAATGTCCAAACTGTTATGGTAATGTCTCCATTACTGTAATCATGATTTAATATTTTCAAGATCGTTTAAGTCATACTCCGTGCTGCTCCAATGAAGCCTTTTCTGCTTTTTTGAATACTTCAATAGTTATAAGCTCATGACATTTTCCTTAAAATTGCTCAACATTTTCCTTGGATAGACGTGTATGACTTGTGGTGTATTCTCATTGTTAGAAAGTAGAGTTAAAGGTTCAACCTTTTCCTTGGATATAGGTGCCTTGGGTCTTTAGTACTAGCCCCTGAAAGCACTGAAATTGCTGCCTAGTCCTCCAAATCCTATTGGTTATTTTAAATTAGTCCCTGTAGGTGGCTAGAGGAGTATTCCATTTAACTCAACTTTGTCATGGATTTGAGTTATACCTCATCATTTATGTTACTCCAAACCCAAATCTGTTCTTTAAACCCAATGGTTATTTCTTCCCATAACCCATTTAACAATCTCTCCTGAGGGTAGAAATTAATTTACCGTGTGATTAACAACTAAGCCAGACTGAGTTAGCAATTTAGACAGAACAACGGCAAGAGGAACTAATTTGAACTAACTATAGGATGAGGAACTAAATAATAATTTCACTGATTTAAGGGACTAATTTCAAAATATTACAAATTTAAAAGACCAATATTTAAAAAACCCAATTTTTTCAATGATTATTATATTTTTGAAACATGTCTTTTTGATCATTGTAAGCATAAATTCTCTCTTTCGTAAAACATTCATCCCTTCTTTTTGTGTTTTAGGTCGGGGAAAACTAGTGTGCCCGGTATGTTTAGGGACTGGTCTACCCAACAACAAGGGACTTCTACGCAGACCTGAAGCACGCAAATTACTGGACAAGATGTACAATGGCCGGTTATTGCCTGGCTCTTAGACCATTTATCATACCAAGAAGAAAATACTTTAACTCCATACATCATGAAGCTCTTTGATAGTCGAACATAAGCATATTTAACAAGAATATGCGAATTGCTTGAAGTCTTCATCCAGAGGAGTCACACTCCAGTAATCGAGATTTGAGTTGCGTATAGATTTCTTTATGCTTCTTTTTTGTAATAATGATATATCCTTGTAGATGTTTGTATTATAGCTTTTAGTGGGGTTTTTGTCTAGATTCAAGGAATTGCGCTTAAAAACAGTGACGTTTAAGCTGCCTATAAATTTTGTATCCGTTTTCTTCTAATAATGCCACCTTTTTGTTGTACTAAAGAATGAGAAGCCTGTAGAAGCATTTTTTTTCCCCTTCTGATTTTGCAGCAGCATGAGTAAATGTGATTTTGCTGGAAAGTTGTTACGGGTTGCCAGTGCTTCCAGTTCTTCTCAATTCAGATATTTTTTGTTCTTTTGTCGATTTTAGTCAGGATTTTAGTTTTTTTTTCCATTCATTCTTTTCAATGGTGCAATGATGCTCTTTCTTGCACAGGGCAATGGGGGAAAACATAGTCATTTGTCCGCATTTTGATCTATTTCATTTTTTTAGTACTTATCGATATGTGTGCATTACGTCTTGTTAAATTCAATTCCACTACACAGTTGTTTCTGAGGATGGAGGATAATTTTTGACTGTAACATACAAGTGCATGTTAAATGTCTTTTCCATGAGTGAATATGGGGACCGTGAGATTTGAACATGATTGATCTGATATCATATTAAGATATTTTCCACTACACCAAAAATTAAAGTTTCTGTATAGTGAAAGGGACACTTCGACTTGTATGTATGCTATCAAACTTCAGGAATTGGCATGCTTTAGACACCCATTTTATACCAATGTGTGCTTCTAAACATTTTTTTGAACTGAAGAAACAGGAATAACATTCCTGTTCTATTTATGTGAACAAAAAGAAAAAAAACTTACAGAGAATATACATACCACACAAAAAAACAGAAAAAGAGCAGTTTAAAAAGCATCTTCTACCTAAACTAGGTAGCTCAAAATATGCATATACACTATTAAACCAGGAATAGCCACCACCAAAAAATAGTTAAGGAGTTTGATTAAGATACCAGGCCTCAAAAGAAAAAACTCCCAAAAGAGACAACCATTGTGCTTAACATCCAACTATGACTAATCTGCTGAAAAATTATCTCCCACTTCAGCTGTCGCTTTCTTCTTTGCTATATCTTCAAATTGCAGCTTGCTAGCTGCCCTACGAATCCTTTTAGCCAACCTATCTTCCTGAGCACCTGCCCACAAGAGAGTATATCTAGCAACATTAGCTGCAATAAGGTCCGAGTTCTGCTGTATATCTCTAAAAATGAGGAAGTTACGGCTGTTCCAAATCCACCAACAATAACATGGGAGCACTATTCTCCAAATACTTCTTATGTCTCTATTGAAGACCGAGGAGTCATTGAGGAGGATTAAGTCCTTCATGGAAAGAGGCCAAGAGCCGGCACTGATACTAGGGAAGAGAATAGACCAGATAGAGGATGCAAAAGAACATGAGATGAATAAGTGGTCATGACTCTCCACTTCTAAATTGCAAAACGGACATCTAGGGTCACCGTTCCATCCTTTGGAGACTAGATTGGCCCTGGTGTTTAGTTTTTTATTACTGACAAGCCAGAAGAAGACTTTAACTTTCAGAGGGATAGGGGATTTCCAAATGAAGTTGAAGTACCTTGATTTGCACCCTCCAGAATTCAGAACAGAGTAGAGAGATTTGACTGAGAATATTCCTGATGAATGTAAATGCCATCGAATAGTGTCCAGAGAAGAGATAGCTATGCAAGAAAAAGGTTCAATGAAAGAGAGAAGGTCCTGGACTTCCCTATGCATTTCCGGGTTGAGTCCTCTTCTGAGGATGGGGTGTCAATGCCAAACTTGATTTAATATGAAACCCTGAGATCTGATGCTGCTACCATTGGAGAAGGCAAGAGAAAAAGCTTGCGGAAAGAGGCTACGCAGAGAGTTAGGACTAGACCATTTATCATACCAGAATCTGCAAGTCTTGCCATTGCCTACAATCCATTTAGCAAAGCTGAAAAAGACTGAGTTTATAGAAAATTGGTCTTTGAGCATATGATGCACCATAAGGTTGGAGTCATCTTTTGAATACATGGAGAAGATGACTTTACTGATTAAAGATCGTCCCTCTCAAAGATTTTCTAAATCCATTTAGATAGAAAAGCGAGATTAAAGACATGGAGATTGATGACTCCCAACCCTCCTTCTTGTTTCGATCTACAAACTGATTTCCAAGCTACCAAACACTTAACTTTGGAGGGGAGATTATTCCCATTCCAGAGAAAATTCCTCCTAATCTTATCAATAGCTTGAATGAGCCACAAAGGGAATTTGAAAGAGGAGATGAAGTAGAACGGGATAGAGGAGAGAACTGAATTTATCAATGTGAGACGTCCCCCAATGGATAGTGATTTGTTCTTCCAATGGGACAGTTTATTTGAGAAAGAATCTAATAAAGGAAGCAGTCTCTTCTAGATAAGGATCCTTTTTGAGTGGTAAACCAAGGTAAGTGAAAGGTAGGGAGCCCACAGAACAATTTAAGACTCTAGCAAGATGAGATCCATTGCATGGAGTTCTACCAAGGTAGAACAGATGAGTTTTGTTGGAGTTCACAGTCAGACCAGAAATGTTCGCGAAAATGAGAAGGATAGCTTTGAGAGTGATCACATCTTCAGAAGAAGCTTTAAAAAAATAATATTGTCCTCTGCAAATTGAAGAGCCCTGATGTTGTTTAATTCTAGCTCCTTTCAACTGAAGATCAGACAGATCTCCTAAAACAGCAATGGTAGAATAAATGTGTGCATATGAACATGAACTGTCTCTTTTCAAAAATGAATTTGTGCCATGTATTGAACCAGACTTTTACCAATAGTACTTGATATAGAATACCATCAATTTCTCATCTTTCTAGTTAAACCCTCTTGCTGAGAAACATTACTCATTGGGCATTATATAATACCATCAATTTCTCATCTTTCTAGTTAAACCTTCTTGCTGAGAAACATTACTCATTGGACATTATATAACAATAACAACAACAATAATAATAATAATAATAATAATAATCTCATTGTGTTTAACCATCCATCAAACAAAATGCATGCAACAAAGAAATAAAATCAGAGAGAAAATAAAAGCAAGTACTAACAAATGAAAGCACGAAAAATAAATGAAATTCAATGAATAAATACTTCAATCTTTATCAAGTAAAAGAAATAAACAGTACGAAAACGCGAGTGAGTTCACAAAACAAACAAAAAAAAGGAGGAAAAAGAAACTTGAATTGAAAATTATCAACTTTGGAAGGAGGGTAGTAGAGGAAAAATAATTCAAATCTTAGAGAAAAAAATAATATTAATTACTAGCACGTGTTCTCGTGCTTGAAGATCATTTTCAATATCTATATTTGGTGGGACAATAGAACAAACAAACTCATTCAATCCTTGGATGCATTGAATCTCTCTTCAAATTGCCCAACTGTTTATGAATGAACGCAACAGAGGTCATTAAATGCTCAAATTGAAAGAAGTAATTTAATAGACAACTGTCGACGAAAGTAGAACTACGAAAAGAATTCAACTAAAATCTTTCAAGAATGATATGAAAATCATTACCTTAGCAGAAAAATTTTCAACAATGAAAAAATATGATTCCGGTAACCGATCCTAAAAAATTAAATAAATATTTTTCTATTAAACGTTAAAGAAATTGAAAGAATTGTTCAAAGAGACGCAAACACCCTCTTTAGACCAAAAAAAGAGGGGAGAAAGGAAGGAAACAAAGAAAAAAGAAAAACCATGAGATTCAATTTGGCCTGTTTGGCTCACTTTTTTGAAAGTTTTTAGAGTTATAATATTATAAACGTTACGCACTACAATATTACAATCAACTCCTCTGTTTGTTAAATTAAAAATGGTTATGTTAATTTAGATGAGTTGTGGCTACTGGGAGGTCCTCATCGATTCAAGACATAGGGGGTCGTATTACTGTAGCTAACCGAACAACCTATTGCGCTGGACTGTAGCAACTGTGCATTGTACGAAAAAAAGTAACTAAACAGGCCTGGTGTTCACGGGAGCCGGATCCTCCATTACGCAACCGAAAACCCAATAGTTAGGTAGGCCACTGGGCCACCTAACGACTGACGTCATCTCCATCGTCGTTCACTCTCTCTCTCTCCGCGACTGATTTGGCTGTTGACAGGTATCATTCTCCCTCTCTCTGAAGCCTCTCTCTCTCTCTCTCTCTCTCCAGAATCTTCAAAAAGTTACAGAATGAGGCCCAAGATTTGACCTAATTTCTCCCAATTTCAGCTGGAATGGCCGGTAATACGAGGCTTGATCTCAGTGGAGCAGCGATTTGTGGAGATTCAATGGAGAGAGACCCCCCGATCTGTCTCCCAAACCAAGCTTCAAATGCCTCTCTAGCCTCTCTCGACATTGGAGGTCACTTAAAATTTTACTTCTTTTGTCTCTTTAATTTACTTGCTTTGGTAATTTTCACAAAACCCCCTGATCTTTGTGTTTTTTGGAAATTTGCCCTTAGCCCCCCCGCAACCCCCTTTTGAATAGTTTGTTGATTGGGTTTATTGGTTCCAGGGACATTGATCAAGTTGGTGTATTTTGAAAACGGGAAGCTGAATTTTGTGAAGTTTGAGACTAGCAGGCTAGAGGAGTGCTTGGATTTCATTCAAGATAAGAAGCTTCTCAACGGTATCGCTATAAATTTTACTGTTTATTTCTTTTAGATTTTACTCGTCTTGTTGATTAATAGGGTCTCGGCATTAATTTGTACTATTTTTGAATAATTGGCATACTTCCACTAGTTTGAGTTAGGTATGGGACAAGGTAATTGTTGTCTACATGTGCATTGCACATCATAGGAAAAGAATGTTCAGAAGTTACATTGCAACATATCATCAAATTTCATGCAAAATGTGATTATTTAATGTGATAGGGGAAATGGGATAGTGAGGATCTTAGATAAGAATCATGAGTAAATAGATAATGTCTTTAATTTAAGCATGGTAAAAAAATATAAATTTGATATGTTATGATATAACACGATGCTTGTAAAATGAGTTAAATTATCTTACAATAGGTAGATCCTAATAAAAATCCTAATAATGTTGAAAAGTTGTAAAAAAAAGGGGGTTATAAGAATGGAACATTGGATAAGGAGCAATAGGTCGTCTTTGATGTGGAATATCAAAGATTTGGGAAATTGAGAACGTATAGTTTAGAAAATATCTGATTCAATGTGTAATACCAAAGCTCCTGGTCTAACTTAACATGTTAACACATAACTATCTTGATGCTCAAAGGCTAGCTCAAAGATAGCATGCTATTTTTTTTGGATGTAATGAGTTTCTGGTTTATGGACATATTGAACATTGGAGGAAATAGTATGCAACAAAATACAGTTGAAAAGGAAACTATTTGCGGTTCTTATGATGAAATCTGTTCCGAACTGACCAGAACCCAACAGACCCCAGTATTCCAGGCTATACATCTGTAGCTTGATGCATTAGAAATTACAATCATGTCCAACTTCATGATTCTCTAAAGTGGGAGAATGAAGTCAATGTTGGAAAGGAAAAGGACCAAACTTCTGTACTTAACCTTGCAAATAAATTACTTGTTGGTCACTGATTTTTTTTATATTTGTATAAACTATGAAGAGCTTTGAAGGGCCAGTCTAATTATCTGTGCTCTAAGGCCTTCATATTTAGATATGCTAGGCATTTAAGTTTCTATTTTAGATGTAACTTTCTACTATTTGCAGAGTACTGAACTACTGGCTAGATGTTTTTTATTATCCTGTCGTTAACCCTATCCCTTTAGTGCATATTTCAAGAACAGAACAAAATATTTGGAATGCACATTGCTTTTGCAAGTTGTCCAGTGCTATATATTTATTTATACACTAAATTTTTTCTTGAATTGTTGCTTTATATAGTATATCATGCTAAATGTCATCAATTGTTAATGTTGGCAGGAAGGCCTCCAGGAGTATCAACTGCAAATAGAGTGATGAAGGTATGCTTTAATAATATATCAAAAAGGAATTATTGTGCATACTTATTTACATAGCTTCTGGTGGTTTCTTTTTGTCATGTTTTGTGAATTACTGTGCATACTTATTGTTGAGTTATTTAGATAGATTAAGTTAATTAGTTAATGTTATAAGGACCCTTTTGTAAGAATGCATTAATATAAAAGAGGGACCTCTCTATGGGAGAAGTAACCCTAATATTTTCCCAAATCACAACATGGTATCAGAGCCAGGTTGCGGCTCCTCTACACCCTCTTGAAGCCATCGGCTTGATCGAAATCAACTCACCTGACGACGACGACGCCCCCACCTGACGACGACGACGCTCCCTTTCGACGACGATCAGAGATTTCGACGACGACGACGCTCCCTTTCGACGACGACGCTCCCACCTGAGTCCCACAACGACGACGACGACGATCGGACTTGAAGAGAGAGGAAGTGAGGGACGATCGGGGTTGGCAGTCAACGACGACGACGATCTGAAGCCATCGAGTCCTCTCTGATGCCGTCGAGTCGGTGAGGGTTCTGTAGCAGTCGCTGCCGTCGTTAGGGCTGATGAATCTGAAGCCCTTGGGTTTGAGATCGAGTAGAAGCAGCGGAGAAAACCCTAGTTCTAGGGTTTGAGAGAGACAGAGGAAAGAGAGGAAGTGAGGAAAAGCCAGAGGCGGAGAAAACCCTAGTTCTAGGGTTTGAGAGAGACAGAGGAAAGAGAGGAAGTGAGGAAAAGCCAGAGAAGGGAAACATTTCGTGGAGATTGATTTTTCGAGGGGTGTTTCTTCCTTTATAAATTGTTTTGGGTACTGTTGCTGAAAGAGAAGGGAACCTTTTTAAATTGTGTTGGGTACTGTTGCTGAAAGAGAACAGAATCAACTATGAAGAGAGATGAATCAACTGTGAAGATGGGAATTGGGTACTGTTGCTGAAAGAGAACAGAATCAACTATGAAGAGAGATGAATCAACTGTGAAGATGGGAACAAGAAACTATAGGGGTTGAAGGAGATCCTTTGATAAGTTAGGAATTGAAAGAGAGGTTGTTTTTTTGAAAGGCAGTCAACTGTGAAGATGGGAACACCCGTGACAAGTCAGGAATTGAAGGAGATCCTGGAGGGGGTGGCCATGGTATTTCAGACCAAACTAGAGGAGAATCCTAGTAGGTCAGTCGTGGTGGCATCGGAGTCGGCGCAGGTTATGCAGAGGGTAAAGTTACTGCCTAATGACATCAAGCTTGAGGGGACAAGAAACTATCTGAGTTGGTCTCGAAGGGCATTGTTGAACCTTCGAATCAAAGGACTTGAAAGATATGTGAAGGGGGAGTGCACTGAGCCAGAGAATAAGGCGAGTACTGAGTGGAACACATGGAGTAACACTAATTCTCTGGTGGTTTCTTGGTTGTTGACTTCTCTGTCTTCAACCATAGCTGGGATGGTGGAGTCTATCTCAAGTGCAGCTGATATCTGGAAGACATTGGAGGGGATGTACTCTGGAGCTGGGAGTGTGATGATGATGATGGAAGTGGAGGAGAAGATTGATGCTACCACACAAGGGGAGAAGACAGTCCACCAGTATGCAGCAGAGCTACGTCACTTATGGGCGGATTTGGATCACTATGATCCGTTATCACTACAAACCCCGGCAGATGTTCTTCTGGGAAGACAGTATCTTGAGCGTAGGCGTGTGGCTCGCTTTCTCAAGGGCCTGAACCCAAAGTTTGAAGGAAGGAGGGCAGCAATGTGCCACCTGTCATCTCTCCCCTCCTTGGATGAGGCTATTGCATCGATGGAACAAGAGGAGATCAGACAGAAGGTGATGGCAAGCGAGGCCTCACCTGCTGTCCGCTCAGCATTGGTGGTTCCAGATGCTTACATCAGAGATGATAGAGAGTGTTACAACTGTGGAAAGAAAGGGCATGTCAGCTACAATTGCCCTCAACCCCGCAATACTGGTGGTAGCCGAGGGGGCAGATGACAGAGAGGTGGCTATGCAGGTCGAAGAGGCAGGGGACGTGGAGGCCGAGGAGTTGCTCACCTAGCTGTGGCAGAGGAGTCCCAGACTACTGCTGGGATGACTGGAGCTGAAATAACAGAGCTGGAGGAACTACGTCAGTTCAAGCTTCAGTCTGAGAGTTTGAAGGGCAAGGGACAAGTCACTCAGGATCTGGATAACACTACCTGCTTTGGTAACTTTGTTGGTTATGCTCATGCGAACAAAGGTACACAGGTTCAGGCACTTGCATCCACTAAAACTCATGTTGATTGGATCATAGACTCAGGTGCATCTAGGCATGTCACAGGAGCATCTAGTGAGTTTGCATTATATTATCCGAGTAAGCATTTACATCCTGAGACAGTTCAGACTGCTGATGGGACATCCCAACCCATCAAGGGTACTGGTTCGGTCCATTGCACTTCATCTGTTATCTTGTCATCTGTATTGCATGTTCCTTCGTTTCCAGTTAACTTACTCTCTGTTAGTTCCCTCATTGATCAATTAAATTGCACTGTGTTATTTGATCGGGATATGTGTGTCTTCCAGGAGAAGGAAACGGGGAGGAGGATTGGGACTGGCATCAGGCGTGATGGTCTTTGGTACTTGGACAGGAAGACTGCAATGATTGCTACTGCTGTTAGTGGAGGACCAGAGGCAGAAGCAATGATTCAACATTGCAGACGAGGGCATTTATCTTTTGATAGTTTGAGTAGATTAGAACCTGAGATAATAAAGAAAGTGGATAGAAAAGAGTTATTTTGTAATGCTTGTGAACTTGGAAAAAATACTCGTTCTACTTATAAAATGATTGGCCTTCGAAGTTTTGAACCATTTGCACTTGTTCATTCTGATGTTTGGGGACCATGTCCTACTACCTCTATTAGTGGTTTTAGATGGTTTGTTACTTTCATTGATTGTTATTCACGTATGGTCTGGATATACATGATGAAGCAGAAATCTGAGGTTTACAAATGTTTTTAAGATTTCTTGGCTTATGTGAAGACACAGTTTGGAGTACAGGTGAAGATTCTTCGAACAGATAATGGGACAGAGTATGTTAACAAGGAGTTTGCGGCCTTCATCTCTAGTCAGGGAATTCTTCATCAAACCACATGTCCAGACACCCCTGCCCAGAATGGGATGGCTGAACGTAAGAACAGACATCTACTAGAAGTAGCACGTTCGTTGATGTTGACAATGAATGTGCCTAAGTTTTTATGGAGTGAGGCTGTTTTGACGGCAGCTTATTTGATCAACAGAATACCATCAAGAGTATTAGGGATGAAGACACCATGTGAGATGTTCTTGGGCTCAAATGTTTTTGTTGTTCCACCAAGAGTGTTTGGATGCACATGTTATGTGAGAGATCACAGATTGATGGTGAGTAAACTGGATCCACAAGCAGTTAAATGTATATTTGTTGGCTACTCATCAAGTCAAAAAGGATACAAGTGTTGGTGTCCCACTGAAAGAAGATTGTTTGTCAGTATGGATGTGACTTTTCGGGAGTTTGAACCTTTTTATGGGGAGAAGACGGAGTTGAGTTCCTTGTTTGGAGATGGCTCTACTGATGCTAGTAGAGGGGGAGAATGAGAATGAGAATGAGAATGACATCGTGGTTGGAATGATTCCATGTCCTCTTGAGTCACCGAGTAGTGATGGTACATCGCCAAGTAGTGGTGGCGACTCAGGAGTTGGCAGTCAAGGTCAGGGGGAGCTGAGAGTATATACGAGGAGACAGAAACAGCAGCATGAGCAGCCTCCTGTGCCTGTGCCAGTACCCACAAATGTTGATGTCCTAAGTCCTTCCTCTCCAGTGCCTTCCTCGTCTTCTCCACCTGAGTCGATAGGTAATGATTCCTTTTCTGATACTTCTAATACTCCTGTCTTGCCTCGCAGAACCTCTAGAGTTAATGCTGGAAACCCTCCAACTAAGTTTGGTAGTTGGGATACTGACATTGCGAATTATATTTCATATGCATCCATTCCACCTGCATATAAGTCATTCATTGCATCATTGCATTCAGTGCCTGTACCTAACAACTGGCAGGTAGCTAAGCAAGATCCTAGGTGGTTGAGTGCCATGCATGAGGAACTTCAGGCCTTGAAGAAGAATGACACATGGGAGCTAGTACATTTGCCAGTTGGAAAGCGTGCTGTTGGATGTAAGTGGGTGTATTCGGTTAAGCAAACTTCAGATGGCAAGATCGACAGATACAAGACCAGATTGGTTGCTAAAGGCTACAGCCAAACGTATGGCATTGACTATGACGAGGCATTTGCTCCAGTAGCAAAGATGAGCACTGTTAGAGTGTTGGTGTCATGTGCCGCCAACTTCAATTGGCCACTACATCAGCTAGATGTCAAGAATGCCTTTTTGCATGGAGATCTCCAGGAGGAGGTGTATATGGAGATTCCACCAGGTTTCGCTACTTCTCAAGTAGTTGGGAAGGTGTGCAAGTTGAAGAAGTCTTTGTATGGGTTAAAACAGTCTCCGAGGGCATGGTTTGACAGATTCAGGTTGGCAGTCTGTGGTATTGGGTACAAACAGTGCAATGGGGATCATACTGTGTTTTACAGGCACTCCAAAACTCGTATCACTATCCTGGCGGTCTATGTTGATGATATTGTAATCACTGGAGATGATGCTGAGGAAATCCTACGGCTGAAGAAGAAATTGGGAGAGGAATTTGAAGTTAAAGATCTGGGGCAGTTGAAATACTTTCTCGGAATTGAGATTGCAAGGTCGCGAAAGGATATAGTACTTTCTCAGCGGAAGTATGCTCTGGATCTTCTATCAGAGACAGGGATGTTGGGGTGCAGAGTTGTAGCTACTCCCATCGAGCAGAATCATAAGATGTGTACCGAGGGTGGTGACCCGGTGAGTAAAGAGCAATATCAAAGATTAGTTGGACGACTTATATATCTATGCCATACGAGACCTGATATTACTCATGCAGTGAGTGTGGTGAGTAGATATATGCATGATCCCAGAGAGCAGCATATGGAGGCAGTTCGCAGAATTCTTAGATATATTAAAGGAAGCCCGGGAAAGGGGTTATGGTTCAAGAGTTCTGGACATCTGAGAATTGAAGGCTATTGTGATGCTGATTGGGCGGGTTGTATGGATGATCGTAGGTCCACTACAGGCTACTGTGTATTTGTTGGAGGCAATCTCGTATCTTGGCGTAGCAAGAAGCAAGATGTGGTGGCCAGGTCTACAGCTGAGGCTGAGTACAGGGCTATGGCAGTTAGTCTGTGTGAGTTGATGTGGGTCAAAAACATATTATCTGAGCTGTGCCTGTTTAGAAGAGACCCCTTACAACTTTGGTGTGATAACAAATCGGCGATTAACATTGCAAACAATCCAGTTCAGCATGATCGCACCAAACATGTGGAGATTGATCGGTTCTTTATCAAGGAGCAACTGAATAGAGGGGTTCTGACTTTGAGCTATGTGAAATCAGAAGAACAGTTAGCTGATTGTTTAACAAAAGGATTAGGTTCTAGAGAATGTGATATCTTTTGTAACAAGATGGGGATGATTGATATCTATCGCCCATCTTGAGGGGGAGTGTTGAGTTATTTAGATAGATTAAGTTAATTAGTTAATGTTATAAGGACCCTTTTGTAAGAATGCATTAATATAAAAGAGAGACCTCTCTATGGGAGAAGTAACCCTAATATTTTCCCAAATCACAACACTTATTTACATAGCTTCTGGTGGTTTCTTTTTGTCATTTTTTGTCCCTTTTGTGTATTTTGTCTGTCATCTGAGTATGTTGATTGCTTTGTCTAGATTACTACTTTCGGAAAGAATGAGTTTGCCTCTATTTTCCTTTTTCCAATTTAGGCCTTTGTTTGTTTATTTCTTTTTTCTTTTATTTTGGTGGGGCTGTAAATTAGGTGTTATCTTTTCTTTCTTTTTTTGTAGCAGTGATGGTTCTTTTTTGGGGGTGGGTGGGGAATGGGAAAGAAGGGGGCTATACACCAAAAGTTGATAATTTCTTATTGCATACTTGACGAGTTAACAAGCATAACTTTTTAGTACATAATAAATAACTAAGAGAGCTTCTAGCTGAAACTGGTAAGAGGTTGGAATTAAAAGGTTTTAAGTTGGATCATTTCTTGTTGTATACTCAGTGAGTTAACAAGCATGACATTTTACTACATAATACATAACTAAGAGAGCTTTCATGCTAAATTTGATAAGAAGTTTCAAAACACTTGTGATTTAGAAGGTTTTGATATGGTTATTTTATTTCTCTTTCATGTAAGTATTCCTTTCTTTTTGGGAACCTGAATGGCAGTTTAGGAAGCAAGTAACATGGAATAACCTCTATGGCAGTGCTCTGGCTCTTCATGTCTCTTGTTCCATTTGTTTCCCTTGTATCAAGTGTTCCTTGTCTACAAGCCCCTGCATGAAGCAATTGTCCAACTTCCTTTCTGTATCTAGCTTCAAATTTGCTCCACATGTTTCAATATAGCTGTTTCCTTTTGGAATTGCCGTGGAAATTTTCACGTGTGGCTTCTACCTGACTGGCTCATGTAGCTTTTTTTTAAACCCCTAATACTAGCATCATACTATTATGTCATATGAGAGGATTCTCTCGTATACAATATGTGGTTGAATCTTAGCCAAGTGTGATAATGAGGAACAAAAGAAAAAAAATGAGAGTGGTTACGTGGAATTCTCTCCTAGTCTCCTCTCATATGAAAAGAATACCCAGTACTCTCTCTCTCTCTCTCGACACATATGCATGTATCCGTATATATGTATTTATGTGTATATATGTGTGTGTGCTTGTTCGTGTGCATGTGGTACAACTCAAATGAAAGAGACCACTTCAAATTTAAAAGAAAACTGACATCTGACTATACAAATGCTATTTTCTAAGAAGTACTTTCTTAATAAGTCCTTTTTTGTTGGCCTGTTGTTAATCAAGTTGCCTCATCCTCTTTTATCATATCCTGTAGTGTAGCTGGATCTCTGTCACGAATTCAGCCTAACGGTATCTCTCTTATTCTTTAGAAGTGAGATTGGCTTTCTGCAATTTTGAAAATTTAGGGATGTCATTGTTGGCTAATACCATGGAATTTTTGCAAAACTGATTGTAGCTAGAATAAAAGCTTCCCTTTAGGAAATGTGAGCTAACTGTTTTTCTCAAATCTTGCTGCTGTACTTGAAACCGTACTTGAAACCTTGAGAATATCATGAACTAGAAGCACAAACTTCTCTGTGCTTTGGCATCTAGTATAAATTCTCTCACAAACATATGCCTGATAATATTCACTTTGAAATGGGCAGTTGAAAGCAGAATTAAATTATTGTTTCAAATTCTCTAATGTAGAAGTATGTCCTTTTATTTCTTTAGGATATAATGTATCAATAGACTGGTTCTTCAGTAGTTGTGCATAAGTCTCTTCCACTATCTTATGGGGGCACTTCACACTTATAGTTCTCTCTTCTTGGCTTATCAATTATTTCCCATTAAATTGTTTGAGAAGGCGACAGGTGGTGGAGCGTTCAAGTTTGCTGACGTTTTTAAGGAGAAACTAGGTGTTTCACTTGATAAATTGGATGAAATGGATAGTGTTGTTGCTGGAGCAAACTTTCTGCTGAAGGTAAATCACTAAAACTGTTCAACTATGGTCTTCTTGTTCCCATTCAAAACTCCATTTTATTCCTATTGAAGGTTTGTTACTCACATGTGCTTCAATGAGAAACAAGTTGAAGCATTATTTTTGCGGTTCCAATGATTAGACAATCCGAGATGCTTAGTAAAAGGGTGTCTTTTTCGTAGAACTAGTTGTCTTGGTGCATGGGCAAGTTTAACTGGTTGATGAGAATGTATCAGATAATCCTTTTTTCCTTTTACATTGTTTTTTTGACAATCATACTCAGAAATAAATTACATAGGATTTGTTTTGTCTATAATGTTGATCGTTTTTGGCAGAAGAAATCTGTGAAAGTGTTCACAGAGTAATCTTTGAAAATTTTCTAAATGCACAAAGGTACTCAGATACATTTATGATACATCTTCAATACATCTATAATGCGTTGCAAATGTTAAGATACATCAAAAGAAATATCTTATAAGTTATATGTATCCATCAAGTATCACAGAGTCAAATTATCTGTTACAGGCACTTCACCTCCTGTGAAGCGTCGATTCAGAATAGGTTCTCTACTCTCTTAGCAAAAAGGAAGTTAACATTAAACTATGATTCTCTAACACAAATCACTAGCAATAAACTTGTTGATCCTCCAACTAAATTGAGGGTAATGTGGAAAAGGCAATGATTTTGGAGGCATTTGTTGAATATGATTTATGTAAAGCTTTTCCTGGTTGCTAAGAAATATTTTGACAGCACCGCTTTGTGATTAATAATTTAAATGATTTTTATACTAATCATTGTCAAAAAGTACTTCTATTTCTATTAATAAACTAACAAAATATTTTTTTTATGATGAGCAGAAGATTCCTGGTGAATCCTTCACACACATGAGCAGAAAAAGGATGCCTGTACATGTTAACCAAGATAACTTATTCCCGTATCTCCTCGTCAATATTGGCTCTGGTGTTAGTATGATAAAGGTATTTATGTTATTTTTTTCTTTTCGTTTTGATGGAAAATTTGTCTGCAAGATATGCAGTCTATTACAAACTCTCCTCGACTGTTTCTAATTAACTTCCTAAAAGTTAATATGCAGAAGTTCATGGTATCAAATATTATGTAGGTCACTGGAACCAAGAAATTTGAACGAGTAACTGGAACACATATTGGTGGTGGTACAATATTTGGGTTGGCAAAACTTCTAACAGGATGCAGGAAGTAATATTTGAATAACAGATACTTTTTTTTATATGCTTATGTACAAGAGCATTTCTCAATAGTTAAAATTGACCCAGCAAGGAGGTAATCCAGTTCTACCTTGTATTTTACATCCATCAGTTCTCATTTTTCTTTCAGATATGATGAATTCTTAAAGTTGAGCCAGCAAGGGGATAATCTTGTTCTGGACTTAATAGTTAAAGACATCTGTGGAGAACTAGCTTGTCAGAAGGTATAATGTAGGTTTAATATTTTTTATTTGGTGACAACAGAACATGCACTTTGATTTTATACAATGTTGTGGGTATTTTTGGCCTTGATTATATTTTTATTGGCTTACAAGATGTATTGTCTTCTAATAAGTACTTGTTTGGAGTAGTAATGTGAGTATTTTCTTATTAATTTAGGTTAACAAGAGAATTTGCTGTCGACAGGGTTACAAGAGTGGAATGCATACAACAAAATGTATTTCTAATATACACGCAAGAGTTGCATAAGGTCTTTATAGGACAGATGAATGTACAGCCCTTATGTATATCACAATTTAGTTACAAGTAGATGAAACACCAATTTGTTCGTACTGATGATTTCTTCACTGGTTGCTCTTAACCCCTTAAACATTCTGATGGAAGTAACATAGGGGGGAGTAGAGTGATGAAGAAATCGGAAACTGTTCTTGATAAGATTTGTCCTTTCAGATGAAAACCTTATTATATCTAAATTGAATATTGTTGTCATAGTAGATGCTGTGACTCCTAAGAATAATGGCTAGGATGAGATATGGTGAAAAAGTCAAAAAAGAATTTGGCATCAATTTGTTCTTTATCCAAAATCAGCCTTCAATCTAAATGCTTGGATTAAGAGGTTTGTAGAAGGTTTGATGGAAGCCTGTAGGTAGATATTCTTACATCAGCTTCTGTTAGATTGTTTTCTAATAAAATCAAGAATCCTGGTCATTGCATTAGGTTTCGGATCAGTTTTTGAAGATGTTAGAATATAACTCTCACCACAACTTTGGCGTTTTGGTGTAATGACGCAGACTTGGATGGTATCAGGGCAAGCAAGCTTCACATCTTGCTGGTCAGGAATTTCTTAAGCGGATTAAAAAAAACACCATTCTGTGAGTCCAGATTTCAGCCATTAAATAGCCCTCAACCTGCGGGCATATGTTAGAACATAAAATTATGACCCTCGCCAGAACTTCATAGTTTTGGTGTAGTGGCAGGGACTTTAAGAGAAGAGAGCCTACGAAAACCAGCACACCATTATTCATTTGTTTGCAAAGATTGGGCATCTTCGCCTTGATTTCATTGATCTGTCTGAGACCCAATTTTGAGGCCATCTGGAGTCATTTTCCATACTCTTACTCAGAATGAGTGTAGTGTAAAAGTATAGGCACTGTATCTATAATTTCCTCAAAATATATGATTTCTTCCACCAATTCTTGCATTATATTACTCCCTTGATTTTCCTTTGAAAATGTAACTATATGACTATATGTGATTCTATATCTATATAATTTAATCAATCTCGTTCACATTCTTGTGTTTAAATATCTACTGTGAAGCCCACTTCGAATATGTGGTAGGGATGCTGATTATAGTTTTTTCTGTCACTCTAACAACCTATACGTGGTATATATAATTTTTGCTTCTATTTTCTCTTGGAGTGGCCTAATGAAGTTCATTTGTCTATATCATGCAGCAAGGCCTTTCAGCATCAACTCTTGCTTCCAGTTTTGGAAAGGTGATAAGTTCTCAGAGGAAGCTTACAGATTACAAAGCTGAAGACCTCGCTACAACATTGTTAAGTGCATTTACTTATAACATCGCACAGGTATGTTACTTCCTTGATTTCTTGCTTGTAGTCAATGCTCAAACAGTTTCTCTAAAACAAACTCATCATACTTCCTTGGGAGCTTTTCTCAACTTATGCTGCAATTATATGTCGTACTCTTCTGCAAATATCAGTTGCTACCTGCACTGATCCTTTTTTGTTCTTTAGACAGCATTGTGTACTTTCATAATTATTTTCATAAACATGGCTTGAGGATTGCTTTTATAGCTGGATTTAGTATACTCTCTATTTCTTTAAGTGATAATGGATACACTTCCTTTTAAATAGAAACTTTTTACCCAAAAGAAAATTTATGCTGTTACTTTTCCTTTTATATCATCAATTTTTGTAGATAAACTTCATTGAAAGTGAAAGAATCAAGCTGATAAGGATTTGGTAGCAAGATATTAGTAATAGAGGGACCAGAAAAAAAACGTCGAATGAAGTACAGGTTAGCATAGTTTAGGATGTAATCTTGAATTACTTTTCCTTTTGATGGACATCCTCTTTGCAAACTTATCTCTACTATGGAGTTGGTTCTTACCATACAAGGATCTATTGTGCATCTAGGTGTTGATGTTTTAAAATTCTATTGTGGAACTTTGTCGACTTTGACTCCTTCATAGCATTAATGTCCTTTGATGGAAATTCTCTCAGATGATGATGAGGGTGAATTCGGTAACCAATACCATTGCAAATGATATATATGCATGTTCAGCTTTTTCTTAGGGACAGAAAGTTATGTGAATCATGTCTTCTTAGTATTAACAGTAGTGTACTATTAGAAAATTTGAAATGATGTTTTCTTCCTAAATCCAGCAGCTTACCTATTTGATAGTACCCAAATATCACCAATCATTGTCTCCATATTAGTTGTATTCTTGAGGACATCCTGTAAATCGGAAAATCTGTGTAGATTGACGATATCCTGTAAATCGGAAAATCTGTGTAGATTGACTTCAATGATATTAATTGAAGCAAGCACCTGACTTATGCTTCATTTGGTCATTTATCAGTGTCATGTTTAAGGTTATACCTCTTTATCAATTAACACTTTTGAAATTTTCATTTGTTTTCATATAGCCTTAGCTAATAGTATCTTAAATCAGAATCTCAAGCTACATTGACTAGGTGCTTTCAGTTTTAAAAAGAATCTTTTGGCCCATTTTGTTGAAATTATTTTATTTTATTCCACCTTAAATATGATTATTGTTAATAAGTTGAACATGAATATCATAACCTTACTCAGTTTTCTGTAAGAAAATTCTCTTAATTCTTACTCTATTGGTATTTCAGGTCTCCTTCCTCGTAGCATCACTTCTTGGTCTCAATCGAGTCTACTTTGGGGGATCTTATATCCGTGGTCATGCCAGTATAATGGACAATATTTCTTATGCCATTGATTATTGGTAAGCACTCTTGTATCCAAATGTATAACACTTGTAACATTCTACGAACATTTGGCATTATAGTTCAATTTGATTTTGAGTTTCAACTTCTTTTGAACTTGATGTCCAGAATAAAATTTTGTACTTGGTTTATTGCTGAGTAATTACTTTATATTTTTCAGGTCCAAAGGTCAAATGCAAGCAGTTTTCCTACGACACGAGGGGTTTTTAGGAGCTCTAGGTGCGTTCATGAGCTATGAAAGCCTTAACATCAATGGCTTGATACTCAATGATTTAAAAGAACAAGTAAGTGAATAAAGTTAAATCATATGATTCTTCAAGGTTTTTGGACTTTTTTGTTTTAAAAATAAGCGAAGGACGGAAATGAGATGCAAAAAAATACGTTGACTGAAGTTGAAATATATGAAGAAACCCTAATTCATTATGAGATCTCTTGGGCTTTATATAGGCCCCTACACAACTTACAAATAAGTCCCTAACTAATACTAATATGTCAACACTCCTCCTCAAGATGGGCGAAAGATATCTACTAAGCCCATCTTGTCACATCCTCTAATCATATCTACTGAGCTAAGTCCTTTAGTCAGACAATCTGCTACCTGGTCCTTAGTCGAAACATGACTTAGCTCCAGTAGTCCACTATCCAACTTCTCTTTGATGAAGAACCTATCGATCTCGATGTGTTTGGTTCTATCATGCTGCACTGGGTTGTTGGCGATACTGATGGCTGACTTGTTATCACACCACAGCTTCATCTGGGCTCCTTGATCCAGCTTCAGCTCCACCAACATACTCTTCAACCACAACAACTCTGTAACTCCTAAGGCCATGGCTCTATACTCTGCTTCAGCTGTTGACCTCGCTACCACCGAGTGCTTCTTGCTCTTCCACGAGACCAAGTTGCCTCCTATAAAGATACAATATCCTGAGGTGGATCTCCTGTCATCAGCACAGCTAGCCTAATCAGAGTCGCAATAACCCTCGATGCTCACATGTCCATTCTTTCTGAATATCAGCCCCTTTCCGGGAGCACTCTTTAAATATCTCAGAATCTGGTACACAGCGTCCATATGACCCTTCCTCAGATCGTGCATGTAACGACTCACCACGCTTACTGCAAAAGAGATATCAGGACGTGTGTGACTCAAATAGATCAGCCTTCCTACCAACCTCTGGTATCTGTCACGATCAACTGGTTCTCCAGCCTCAGCACCTAGCTTGAACTTCTGGTCGATCGATGTAGTTGCAGGTTTGCATCCTAACATTCCTGTTTCTTTGAGAAGATCCAGTGCATACTTTCTCTGGGATAGGATGATCCCCTCCGCTCCTCGAGCTATCTCTATTCCAAGAAAGTATCGAAGCAAGCCAAGATCTTTCACCTCGAATTTCTTACACAGTCTCACTTTGAGTTGGGCAATCTTCTTCTCATCATCCACTGTAATAATCATATCATCTACATATACTGCAAGCAAGGTGATGTGGCCTTCACTCCGTCGAAAGAACACTGTATGGTCGGCGTTGATCTGTTGGTACCCCATACCAATCATAGCCCTTCTGAATCTGTCAAACCAAGCACGAGGAGACTGCTTCAGCCCATAGAGAAACTTCTTCAATCTGCAGACCTTTCCCACTGTCTGATCTGTACCGAATCCTGGTGGTATCTCCATGTATACCTCCTCCACTAGATCTCCATGAAGAAATGCATTCTTCACATCTAGTTGGTGTAGCTTCCATCTACCATTTACTGCTAGAGAGATTAAGGTCCGAACAGTGCTCATCTTCGCCACCGGTGCAAAGGTCTCGTCATAATCGATGCCATATGTCTGACTATACCCTTTTGCTACCAGACGAGCCTTGTAGCGCTCAACTTGTCCATCTGGATTCTGCTTCACAGTGAAGACCCACTTACATCCAACTGCTCTCTTCCCTTCTGGTAGTTTTACTAGCTCCCAAGTGCGGTTCTTCTCTAGAGCTCCTAGCTCCTCGTGCATAGCCGCTTTCCACTTTGGGTCCTTAGTAACCTGCCAATTGTTAGGTACAGTAACAGAGTCTAATGATGCAATGAATGCCCCATGTCTAGGGTGGATGTTAGAATATGATACAAATTGGGCAAGATCCCAACCATATCTATCGGGAGGATTTCCCGCATTACTACGAGTAGTCCTCCGTACTGATATTGGTATGGGAGGAGTAGGGAGAGGAATGTTATCAGTAGGAATGTTATCACATTGGGATGAAACTGGTGGTGGTGTAGGTGTTTCAGGAGTCGGGGTAGGCGTTGGCAAGAGACTTGGCAGCACTAGTGGCACTGTAGGTACTGTTCCTGCAATTTGCTTGTCCTTCCTACTATAAGTTAGTAGCTCCTCCTGAACAGTGGGCCTAACACCTCTTGTCTCATTTTCCTTTTCTTCGTCATTCTCCTGCTCATCCTCAACCAATTCTCCCTCCCAAGGAATCGATACAGAAATGGATTTCTCCACATTGTTCACCGTTCTCTCACCATTCTCCTCCTCTCGCCTCATACTTTTAGTATTGGGCGAGTTACCAGCGGATGAAGTTACCTTCTGGGTGTAATATGGCTCCCCCTCTCGAAAGTGCACATCCATGCTCACAAACAACCTTTTCTCCACAGGGCTCCAGCAAACATATCCCTTCTGAGTAGCAAAATATCCCACAAAGATGTACTTCACAGCTCTAGGAGCAAGCTTCCCGACAGATGGCCTGTTGTCCTTCACAAAGCACACGCAGCCAAACACTTTGAGTGGAAGGATCCCACCATTATCTCCCTTCAATATCTCACACGGAGACTTCCAATCCAACACTCTCGAGGGCATTCTGTTGATCAATGCTGCTGCGGTCAATACTGCTTGCCCCCATAATGTTTCTGGGACATTCATAGAGATCATCATGCTTCTAGCAACCTCTAAAAGATGTCTGTTCTTCCTTTCCGCTACTCCATTCTGAGCTGGTGTGTATGGACAGGTTATCTGGTGATGTATTCCTTGAGCTGACAAATATTCTTTAAAGGCTCTGTTGGTATACTCTGTCTCATTATCTGACCTCAATACTTTCACCACTGCTCCGTATTGAGTCTGAACAGTCCTATGAAAATTTTGGAAGCACCCAAACATATCACTCTTATTCTTCATCAGGTATAACCAAGTAACACGAGAGAAGCAATCAATAAATGTAACAAAATACTTGTATCCATTCATAGAACTTGTGGAACAAGGCCCCCAAACATCTGAATGTACCAAGTCAAATACATGAGAACTTCTATGATCAAAACTAACATAAGAGCTTCTAGTAAGCTTTCCAAACTCACATGCATCACACACAAGTTTCTGTTTATTTTCTTTCTCAAATAAAAAAGGATACAATCTACCTAAAACACTAAAGGATGAGTGTCCCAAACGCTGGTGATGAAACATTAACTCATTTTCAGCACTCATTTTATATCCTACTCCTGCTTTCTTTATGACTGACACCAATGTTGAATCCAGTCCTTCACGATCCAGATACCACAGTCCACTACGCCATGTGCCAGTCCCAAGTCTCCGCCCTATCCCCTTCTCCTGGAAAATCACCTTGGAAACATCAAAAGAAACAATGCATTTTAGTTGGAGGATGATAGAATTAATGGACAAAAGATTGACTAGAAAGGAAGGAGCATGCAAAACATTGGACAAAGTTACAGAACCAGTACAATCGACTGTACCCTTACCAACCACCGGCTGAAATGTACCATCAGCTGTTTGAATACTATCAGGCGATGCTAAGTGAGTATATGATGAGAACTCACTAGCATTATCTGTCACATGACGAGACGCACCGGAGTCGACTATCCACTCTGATGATCTGTCGGGAGACATAGAAGTAAGAGCATGTATGTCATTAGTACCTTTGGTCGGATGAGCATAGGTAGCAGTGTTGTCTCTGACGAAGATCGAAGTGGATGCCTCCGCAGTCCCACTCCTCAAATCTCCATCTCCTGCTATTTGCTGTTTTTTCCTGAGTATCGTGAGGAGAGCACGATCCTCCTCTGTAAAGACCACCTCAGCTTCTTCTTCTTCTGCTACCGTCAGATTCGCCCGATTTCCTGCTCCTCTTCCACCTCGTCGACCCCCACGGTCACGACCACGACCTCCGAACTGTCCACGTCCACCCGAATCTCCTTCCTTTGATGGCTTAGTGCAAGCATGCCTTAGATGACCCACCGCACCGCAGTTGTAACACTGTCGGGTCTCTCCCCTAGATCCAGTGTTGCTAGAGGCTGCCAGTGCTGACTTCACCACAGGAAATCCACCTGTCCCCGTCTGCAGCCGAATGCGAGTCTCCTCCTGGATCATAGCAGAGACAGCCTCCTTAAGCGTGGGAATCTTCGACTGAGCTAGCAGCAATGCGATTCGCTGAGCGAACTCTGATGTCAATCTTTTAAGAAACACCATAGTCCTCTCTTGTAGAAAGGCCTCCCGTTCTTTACATCCCGGGTCCTTGCAGCTAGCCCGGGGAAAAAAATGATCATAATCCAGCCACAGGCGCTCCAGCTCTGTAGCGTATTCCTATACAGTCCTCTCTCCCTAGACTGTGGCGTCGATCTCTCCTTTAATCTGGAATATCCTCAGGTTATTCCCCACTCCATCATATGTCCTCAACTTCTCCCAGACGTCCTTCACCTTCTCAATATCATCCACCGTGACGGCGATCGTCGGGACCAACGAGTTAAGAAGTCAGATGTACACCAACATATGAGTGGACTTCCACTCATCTCTTCCCTCTGAGTCCTTCTCCGGCTCTGTCACCTCTCCTGTCAGATAACCCTCCAGATTCCTCCCTGCAAGGGTATATCTCACCCGCTGTGACCAGCTCAGGTACGTACTAGGTCCATCCAGCTTCAGATCGATGGTCGGAAGCTCCAACTTCTTCGATGGTTTTGTCGCGCTCTCACTAGCCGACAACTTCATTAGCTTCATCAAAGTTGACACCTCCGCAGGATTTAACTTCTTGATGATCTCCTCCATCGAATAGGCTTCAGACCCACCACCTGTTCACCTTCTCTTCCGACCATTATTGTGTGCAGTAAAAATTTTGGCAGCACCTCTGCTGCACAACAAGAGTAGGATCTCAAACAAATTCTTGTTTCTCAGAGGAAATAAGAACCAAAAACAGTTATATATCTCATCGTTGTGAGATATATACTCTTTCTGTCATCAATTCGAGGACTGAGTCGAGGGAATCCATGCCAAACTCGAGGTTCGACAGGATGCAACAGGGGGGTTCGAGGT